TCAGTCAGTCAGTCAGTCAGTCAGTCAGTAATATTTAACTAGTTGAGTTTATTCCCTTAAAGAAAAAAACTGAGCTGATGAGTTAGCCCATGTTTTTCGTAACAAACCCTAAACCTTAATTTAAAAAGACAATTTTTAAGGTTTTCTTTTTTTCTTTGTGTGTATGTCAGTTAGAGCCCACCTGTCATCATCCTCTGCCAGAGCAACCTTCTCAAAGTGAATGTGAAGCCGATGGCCTTCTGGGGCCTCCAGTACCCAATGGCAGGTAAGATTGTTGCTGTAGTTACCAGGGAAACCGGGAGAAACGATGCGACCATAGGTGGCATTCTTTATCATCCCCCCACAGGATGCTATATGAGAAGAAACCAAGCAAGAGAAAGCAGCAAGAGGATAAAAAGTTAGAGGGTAAAAGCCAGATGAGAAATGTAATGAAACTATGGAAGGGGGATTTCAGAGAAAAGTCACTGTCTGTGCACAGATTGCATCAATATCCAATAGGCTATGGCTGTGCAATGCCAGACAGCTCTCCTGGGTCTAAGAGTGTCTTAACACAGCAAAATGGTAGCGGTAGCGCTATCAGGTGAGAACAGCTGCAGGCAGGCAATGTGAAAGGCTGGAAGACGAAGAAGAGCCTTTATAAGCAGTAGACTGACAGCCACATGTTCTAATCAAGGCAGCCAGGTCCAACGGCTTTGTTTTGCCCCATCTCCAAAGAATAGCTCCCTCTGCACAGTTGGTCTCTAAAATCAACTCAGTGGGAGACTATCTAGCGAAAGCGTTCATTAATCAAAATTACCAGTTGTCTTCAGGAAGGCTGGAGAAAAAAAAAAAGGCTCACTTAGTCTTTATTTTTTTCTTCCGAAGGCTCCTTTTTGTTGTTGATTTCAATTGTTGAAACTGTGAGGAATTTATTTATCACCAAGATCTTTGTTTTGATTATTATTTAGTTAAATTATTTAACTGGATAATGAAAGTTGGTAAAATTTCAACACCAAAATTAAATAGACATGTTGACATGTACAGTATAAGTCATGCACACATTCTTTAAATGTAGCTGTATGGGGCAATTGAGTTTGTTAAAGTACAGTTCTATAAAAAGTGTTTTCCCCCTTACATATTTGTTGTTTTGTTTTTGTCTGAGTTTTTGTAACATTTTATTATGCGACACAAAGATAATGTGAGTAAATTTAATATGCATTTTTTGAATGACAGTTAAAAGTTATCTATATGAAAATGAAAGCCAACCTCCTAATTTGCGGTAGGGATTATAAATGTCTTTGATCTCAGGACACAGCAGTGTTGTATAACCAGATACAATTTTGAAGGATTTACTTCAATATACCTAACAAAGGAACTAGGTGTCTTACCCACGCATTGAGGTTCCTTTCCACTCCAGTAAGGTGTGGTTGCATTACGACATGTAAGCATTTTGGGACCCTGCAACTTGTATCCAGTGAAGCAACTGAAGTAGGCCTCTCCACCAGCATGGAGATGTGTCACCGAAACCTCCCCACCCACAGGTTCTTTTGGGAATGCACAGCTGAGCACAAATGCTGCAGAGAACAGAAACATGGAAAAACAGAAAAAAAATATAATATATAATCTTTTATAATCACTTCAAATGAGGCACAACTTCTGTATGCAGCTTGGCAGCAGTGTTTCCTGCATCGATAGGTGAGACCCCACCCAACAGACAGACGGATAAGAACAGTAGTACATAACTTCAGTGATGTCATTCTTACATATTTTTAACTTTTACTTTTTTTTTCTCGCTATTGTTATATGAATATCCAATCTTTTAAAACATGTTATTGCAGGGATCAAAAGTTTAACACTCTGCATACATGCACCCATGGACAAAATGCATTTGTACAATCACTGCTACATTGTCTGTATGCTTTGTATTGTGCTCACCACACCGAGTCCCCTACTAAATCATTGTTTATCGTGTTAAATATTTGGGTATAGAAGGGTAGCAGTCTTTTGTTGGCCAATATCTCTTCAAACAAATCAAACACTATGTTTCAGCCAACAGACATAGTCCTTGTCAAACACATATTCGCCAAATTAGAGTTGTTCTTTTTCCTGGTCCATCTGTTGTTTTTCATTTAACAATAAATGCAATAAGCTGACTTACAGAGCAATGTTTGAATCCATGGTTAATAATAACGCTGAGTGAATCATGTTACTCCAAGTATGCTGACAAATGCAGCTATTGCTGGTATCCCAGTGACTCTGTAATATGGTAGTGGGAGGAAGAATAGCCTATGTAGCATCTGTCCAAGAGTGACAATTACAGTGAGGTGAGTTCAATGTTCCTGGAGTTGCTTTGCATTGTTGTCCTGACCCTGATTTCAAATAAATAGTGTAGAATAGGATGAAGTTAGCCAAGATAATGAAGTGAGCTAAGCAAGTCTTTAATGGTAGCTATTAAACAACCTGCTCCTCCTGTCTAATAACCACACTGTTCTACCTCATTAGTGTAGGGACTTTAATGACCAGACTAAAACTTTTAAACTTCTTGGAATGTGTGAACAACAGAAATAGCAACATAATTGGATCCACTATGGCCTGCAGTAAAATAACAAAGATGTTGTAAAAGCCCAACAAAACAGGAACTGTTTTAGAATCAGAACTTGATCAGTGTAGGTAAGGCATGACAAGTTTACAGTATTTGAAAAAACGCATTTCAGCAACAAGACCATTAAACAAGTCCTCTACATAATGAAAGGATATGAAAAGAAAACAAATAAAGAGGTAAATTCTAGATACATTTTAAAGAAATGTAAAGAAAAGCTGGACTATAGACCGATATTATGGATGTTACAGTTTACTGTAAAATAGTTAAAAGATGCTCTAAAAAAATACATTTTTAACATTGAAATAAACGCTTTTTGTGCAAAACCCTTTTTACAGTTTGATAAATATTAAGAAAGCATCAATACAGTAGGATTTAAAGGACAAGGGCAGTCTTTGTATTTGAGTGACATGGCAACCTGTCTGGAAGACATCTAACAAAGGACCACCAATGCAGTGCCCGGTGGCACCAATGGGGCCCTCAACGACTATATGGGGTGCCCTCAGCATCTTCTGTAAAAAGGACAACTAAACAGAGGGCTGAATTCTAAATTTTAATTTTATTCTGTTGCCGTTCTTTTGTAAAACAGTTATAGAGAATTTCATTTTAATAATCATATGGGGCATTTAAGCATTTAGAGAGATTTCAAAATGAAAAAAAAAGAAAAAGATTTGAAATGAAAATGAAAAAATAAAAATATGTTTATCATGCGTTACGTTTAGGTAAACGCTGACTCCTCATAGGTCTGTATTGGTGGCCCTTCAGTTGACTCAGCCCTCATGAAGTAGCCCTCAGCCCTAAAAAGTTTGGTGACCCCTGCATTAAACAGTGTTAAAAGGGGATTGACATCTAACTGAACCACAGCTATTTCTATGACCTTATTGGTAAACGGTGGATATGAGATCAGCCTGTTATTTTGCAATAGTAAATTGTCCAGACTGTCCTATGTTAAAATGGTTTCATAAATAGTCTTAGATTAGTCTATTGTTTGAATAAAATCAGATTATGATAACCAAACATTTTTGAATAGGCTATGAATACTTAGACGGATGTGGTTTCTTAGCGTTTTTATGGAATATTTAAAAAATTTTTTTACCACTTTGACATAAAAGGGTATGATATGTACATTTTTGAGGAAAAAGATTGTTTTAACACAATAAGGAATAAGGTTGTGACATTAGTATGGATGTGGTAAACGCAACAGTGTGAATATTTTTTCAGATGCGCTGTACAGATTATGACTGTAAATCACAATGTGTAATTGTTAATAAAATTGAAAACTTATCAACAAAATATTTCTTTGTACATCTCAAACAGATCTTTTTAGCTTTTTTATTTTGCATCTTTAAAAAACTTAATTAACAACTATGCAGTGTGATATATTGTACAAGCACAACGTACATACTGTATGGCTGGAAACTCCAAGAAAAAAAACTCTGCAGAACGAATAAAGAAGGTACAAAGCTGCATAGGTTCTGAAGTTATGAGTTTGTCCTAAAGATGAAGCAAAATTACTGTCATTTGCCCGTTGCTAACTGCTTTTGGACACTAAATGTTATTACATCTGATTATAAATTCTCCAAAGTGTGAGTACTCCTGGTTCTTCAAATTAAACAAGTTCGAAATAGCAGTTGACTGTTAGCAGACTTTTTTCAGTCAGTATAGTTTTTCATGGTCATAACCCCACAGCTCTAGAACTGTTATAGCTAGAGTCTGACATTTTCTGCATTTGTGGTTGACATGATGTAGAACAAATTTAATTCATTGAGACCTGCCTTTTCTCAAGAATGTCTTTATTACTGCTGTTCGAAAAAGACCTATAATTTCCGAGAATAATAAAAAAAAATATTTAGTCATGTTTGAACTCATGCAGCTTGGTCTGTGTTCTACTCAACCAATTTTAATTTATATATTCAGAAACTAGAGGGTGTTCACTTTCAAGTAATGTATTGCACATGTAATTTGGGCTTACACTTCCTAAGTTATTTTCTTTTCCATTTGGGTATGCAAAAAAGGCAAGGATTACCCAAAATTAGGTGGATGTTAAGAGGTTAACATTTTCACACTAGCTTGATCTTTGGATTTGTACATTTTATTCAAGGCACAATATCAGTAATTCTAAAGCAGTAATTTGATTTTTCAGCCTATTTAAGCAAATAAAAAAAGCTTGTTTCAGAAGCTACAGATGTAACACTAATATTCTCATTGGAATATTTGGAAAATATACTGAATGTACTGTATAATCAAAAGTAAAATTTAGTGCTGAAATGTTACATTTTATTTTGTTAATTCAAATCAGAAAGTGTAAAATTAGTAAAGAAATCCAGTGGAACCCCCTGAAGAAGAAAAGTTCAGAAATACAGACACCTTATAGCTTCTTTATAACTTCAGATGTTCTTCAGAGATCCACTACCCCTACTTGTACACTAGGTACCAACCAAGTCACACACACTCTTCACAAATCAGCATTTTATTAAAAGGGGCAAGTGGAAAGCTGCACAACTAACCTGACACACATAAGTCAATAACTATAACCACTGTGCTTGTCCTTTAACCTATCAAGTAGTTATCATGACAAAATGCAGGATATCGAATTTCCTTGTAAACAAAAAGATGACACAAAACAAAAACACTTAAAAGAAAAAAATGTGGAACTTTATCCTTTCACCTACCAGTGTTTTTATCTGTTCACAGTAAATTCTTTAACTTTCTTGCTAAGGCTACTCTAGTTTTTGTCAGACCTATAATGCCAGACAAATAGGATATGTGGTGGGTTTTATATTATTGTACAATTTCCCACTTAGAGAATGTGTTGCATGCACTGATGTAGGGAAGAGAGGGTTAAACTGCACAAAGATTGGAAGCTGCTCAGCAGGTTGGCTTTGAAGTCTTTTCACTTTAACCAGTCGTTCGTAGAAGAAAATGAATGGTTTGTTTTATGCTATTACCTGAATTTAACTTATCTGTTCAGAAATGTCATTCCATCAGTCTTTGAAGCAAAACATAAGAGAAAACAGCTCTAAATGCTTAATGGCCATAAATGTTTCTCAAGCTACTGACTTGTGTGTTTCTTTTGAGCAAGCCACTAGTTTCTTATGAAACAGGGTCCTGCTTTGCAGTAAATCAGTAAGCCACAGGGACAAAGCACTTTGCCCTTGGGTCATCCATTCCATTCATAGTTTATCACTAGCTCCAATGAACCTAGTTATTGCCATTATCATAGCAGCATTTAAATCCCTATTGAGCATACGACGGGGGAGCCAGAGGCAAAAATCGTGCAGCCAATTCCTGAAGTATTAAATTACGTGCTGCTTCCATTCCAGTAGATGTGGTGCTGGGCCATAAAGCCTGATTGTTTTGCCATTAGAAATAATACATCCACGGTGCAGGCAGCCAGGAAGATTAGCTGCTGGTGCTGTAGAGCCACAGGAAACAGATGTGAAGTTGATGTCTGTTGTTTTTTTTTGTTGCTTTTTGTTTTTTTTTTGTTCTTGTTTTTTCTTTGTAGGAATAAAGAAGACATACACTTAAGTATACAACTCAACAAGTTTGAACCAAAGTTTCAGACCTGATTCTAGATCTCATTAGGAGCAAATTCTAAAATCAGCTTTTATTTACTATAGAATGATACAGGTTTGTACCAAGTATATAATCCAATGTTGATATTAACATATGAAAAATGAAATATCCAAAAAAACGTTTTTGAAACTGACTGAATTTTATCAAAGTATCTGATTTATGCTAAGGTTTGTCAAAAGTTAAGGTAAAGAGATGGTAGAAAAGAACAGATAACAATGAAATAATATTTTGTTAAAATGAACGATTTATGGCCATTTATTCTTTCTACACTCCTTTATTCCAAAAAGATCCTAAGGGGCTAGTATCTACCTCCTACAGTCAATATGAAGGAGGTGCAGTTAATCCTGAAGGGGTCACCAGTATATCACAAAGACAAACAAGAAAATAATGCATTCA